CGCGGTTGGATGTCATTTACGAGCTCCGCTAGGCAGTGAGGGGCGCCGTCCCGGGAGTCGGCGGACGCAGGGGCGGGCTCTGCGAGGCCGTGTTCGCCACTTACAGACGGGGACACCGCGGTGTGAAGTTCATGGTCGCATTCAAAGCCGCCGGCCGCGCAGCTTCCCCGCCCCAGACGGGCGCCCCCGGAGCCCAGGTCCCTCCAGGAGCCCCCAGCGTAGGAGGTGGACCCGCGGTGGGGACCGACTCGTAACGGATGGGCGCTTTTGGGGGTGGGGGTCCAGGTTAGAGGTGACCCCAAGGGGCCCAGTTTTCTCTGGGTGCACAAGAGGAGGCTCTGATGGGTGGTCTAGACAGGGGTTCTGGTGGCGAGGGTGTCGGTGACCTCAAAACCCAGTTATGGAAGTATCTCCCGTCCGTTGGTGGTTTGGCTACTGTGGTGCCGATGGGCATCACATTGTTTAACTGGTGTCTCTTTGATCATCTGGGAGGCGGAACTTGTCACTAGTTTAAACTGAGCAGCTTCTAATTATTTAGTCACCTTCCAGCGAGCCCGCTGTCCTGGAATGAGGCAGGAAGGCTGTACCCAAAATCAAGTGGGTGACAAGCCGCTTTTGCATCCTGTCTTCCCAGGGAAGCGGAGGTCTTCGGCTGGGAGGGGCGGGCCTCTGGCAGGCAGGAGCTGCAGCCTTCCCCCCTTCCCCTGCAGTTCCAATCACGACCTTGGCTGCAAAAGGGAGGGCTGGCGGTGGGGGTTCCCAGGGGCCTGCCAGGGAACAGGCGGTAGAGGAAGGGGATGGGAAGACCCAGTCCCACCTCAGAGGGATGACCTGGGAGGGGATGGTGACCCTTCTCTCAACATTTTGTCTAGCTCCTGTGCTGTGCCGGGAGCTATGCTGTGTGCTGGGCAGGAAGGCTGAAGTTTCAGGTCAAGAGTCCAGCTCCGAACCTCCAAGATTCAAGGCTGTGACTGCCTGGGGGTCGGTCTCCCACCTGAAAGACCAGAAATAAAACTGCCCTGAGGGTTTCATGGTCAAAATCAGCCCAGCAGGGGTTACCCACACATTGCTTCTACAGGGTGTGCAGAGGTGGAGGGAGTAGGTGGGGAGATGGCCGTTATATTCCCGTCGCTGAGATCCCACAGTCCTGTCACCTCTGGGCCAGTGGAGAGGGGCCAGGACCACAGAGGGGTCATTCCAGAGCATCCCACACAGCAGCCCTGTGGATCTTCCTGAATCTCCTTTCGCCAATCAGATGTGTTAAAAAACACACCCTGTCAATAAAAATAAGCTAAAAGAAATTGCAGCCCTAGCGGGTTTGGCTCAGTGGATAGAGCATTGGCCTGTGGACTGAAGGTCCCGGGTTTGATTCCGGTCAAGGGCACGTGCCTGGGTTGTAGGCTCAATCCCCAGTAGGGGGCGTGCAGGAGACAGTCTATCAATGATTCCCTCTCATCTTTGATGTTTCTATCTATCTCTCCCTCTCCCTTCCTCTCTGAAATCAATAAAAAGATATCTAAAAAAAAAAGAAAAGAAAAGACATTGCAGCCCGGGTGGTGGCTCAGTTGGCTGGAGCATCGTCCTGTACACCAAAAGATTTCAGGTTCAATTGCAGGGCAGGGCATATACTGAGGTTCAGGTTCGGTGCTCGGTTGGGGCATGTATGGAAGGCAGCCAAACCATTGATGTTTTTCTCTCTCTCCCCACCCCCCTCCCTCTCTCTCTAAAAAGATTAGTGAATATGTCCTCTGGTGAGGATTAAAAAAAAAAAAAAGCAATTGCAAACATCATAGAGGATCAACTCCTCCCATCCAGCCACATTTCTGGGCTGAAATCTGTCTTCCCATGGAAAAGAAGGACCTGGCAGTGGACTGTACACATCAAGCACTGGGCTTGGTTAAGGAGTGTGGCGTGACCCCAGAGCACTGCCAGAGAGGAGGAAAAATTACCACATGCTCGTAAAATCCTGCTTCTCCAAGCCTGTTAACAAACAGCATCTTTTTTTTAAAAAATATATTTTATTGATTTTTTACAGAGAGAAAGGGAGAGGGAGAGAGAGTTAGAAACATCGATGAGAGAGAAACATCCATCAGCTGCCTCCTGCACACTCCCCACCGGGGATGTGCCCGCAACCCAGGCACATGCCCTTGACCGGAATCGAACCCGGGCCCCCTCAGTCCGCAGGCCGACGTTCCATCCACTGAGCCAAACCGGTTTCGGCAACAAACAGCATCTTTCTGGGACTAATTTTTCTGGTACCTTTTTTTTGGGGGGGAGGGGGGTGTCATGGATTGTGACATGTTAAATGGTTTTTGTGGGTTTTTTTTTTAAATCCTCATCCGAGGATATGTTTTCTTTTTCTTTTTTTCTTTTTTGCTTAAAGCATTACAAAGGGTATTACATATGTGTCCATTTTTCCCCCCGCCCTTGACAGTCCCCTAGCCTCCCCTATCTCCAGTGTCTTATGTCCATTGGTTATGCTTATATGCATGCATACAAGTCCTTTGGTTGATCTCTTACCCCCCTCCCTCCTGCCCCCCAACCCTCCCCGGCCTTCCCGCTGCAGTTTGACAATCGGTTTGAGTGTTTTCTTTTTAAATTATTATTTTTGAGTTTTAGAGAGAGAAGAAGGGGGAGAGAGAAACATCAGTGAGAGAGAAACATCTATCGGTTGCTCCTGTATGTGCCTTGACTGGGGACTGAACCTGCAAGCTTTTGGTGTCCAGGACGCCACTCCAGCAACTTAGCCACCCAGCCAGGGCAACATGTTAAATGATTTTTAAAAATTGGTACATGGGCTACCAGGAACCGTGTGGGCCTGCGCTGCGCTCTTCCTTTCCGATCCGCCATCGGTGGTGGAGTCGCCACCAAGATGCAGATTTTCGTGAAAACCCTCGCGGGAAGACCATCACTCTGGAGGTCGAACCCTCAGATACAACAGAAAATGTAAAGGCCAAGATCCAGAATAAGGAAAGAATTCCTCCTGATCAGCAAAGACTGGTCTTCGCTGGCAAGCAACTGGAAGACGGACGTACTTTGTCTGACTACAACATTCAACATTCAACATTCGTGGTGGTGCTAAGGAAAGGGAGAAGTCTTACCTCACTCCCAAGAAGAATAAGCATAGGAGGAAGAAGGTGAAGCTGGCTGTCCTGAAATACTACAGCGTGGATGAGAGTGGCAAAGTCAGTTGCCTTCGTCAGCAGTGCCCTTCAGATGAATGTGGTGCTGGAGTTTTTCCGGCCGGTCACTTTGACAGACACGATTGTAGCAATGTTGTCTGACCTATTGCTTTAACAGAAGACAGGTAATTGTATTTGCTTCAACAGAAGACAGGTAATTGTATTTGGGTTAATAAAAGACATGAACTAACATTAAAAGAAATTGGTACATGGTACCAAAAATTCAGACAAAGGATAAAATTTAACTGGTACAAAAGAGGTAGTGATCATTCAATCTCCCTCCCCAGAGGCAGCCACTATTATAAATTTGTTGCATAGTCTGTAACAGTCCAAGCCAAAAGAAACATAATGGGAAGCACAAATATGAGCCACATATGTAATTCAAGAAGTTTTAGTAGCCACATTAAAAATTAAAAAGAAACATAAAATTTTATTAGTTTACTTAATTTAATGTGTTAAAAATATTATCATTTCAACATATTAACATAACAATTATGAATAATGTATTTTACATACTTTTTTTTGGTACCAAGTCTTCAAAGCCCAATGTACATTTTACACTCACAGCACATCTCAACTTGGACTTGGAATGTACTTTTCAAGCACTGGATAGTCACATATGAGATTAGTGGCTACCACAGTGAACAGGGCAAGTCTATATATTTACAAGCATATGTATGCCCATATTTTTATAAATATACAAACAGAACATGAAACATTGTTGTACATCTTGCTTTCTCTATTTTACTTGGAGATAGATCTATATTAGTGCCATAATGACATATATTTATTCAATTCTCTAATGCGAAACATTTAGGTTATTAGTTTTTGCAATGATGCAGACAGTACGCATTGCATGAATTCCTAAAGCGGAAATGCTGGAAAGTGTGGACCTTACTCATTGAAACCTCCTGTTCTCTTTTCTCAGTCTCATTTCCTCAAGCTGACTGAGCTATTGAAGAGCAGGGACCATGTCTTTTACCTCTCCACCCTTCTCCCAGCACCTCAAATAGGCTCCAGCCCCAGGTTGGCCTCTGACCCCAATATTCCACTTCTAGGGATTTCTCTTAAGGATATGACAAAAGTACACACTGATGTATGTATGTTCATTGAGTCATTTTTTAAA